CAGTTAGTGCCCTCTTCTAGAATACCTGGCCAATACCTGGCCGGTACGGTTAGTGCCCTCTTCTAGAATACCTGGCCAGGTTTCTTTGCCACTGGCCGTTTGCCAGGCGGGAGGAACAGGCGAAAGATGATAGCGGTCCTACGCCAGTGACAGCAGCCATTGAACAGAACACTTCTGTATCTTGTCAGCTAGTTTTAAATCGTATTTTTACTTGAAAAATCCTAGTAAAAATTCTTAAGTGAAATTATACTGTGATGAAGGACCATGGTGTAAAATGAACCTAACTCATGGAGCACAGCATGATAGATTCTTCTCACAAATACTGCCAGGTTTTACTGCTACTATAAAATATTTTTAAGTGCAGCTTTTATTATTTTTAGGCAAAATTGAGTAAGGGACATTTATATCTGTGTCAGTTTACAGTTTAAGCTTATTTTACTTTGGTGGTGAGAAGCTGGTTGTTTCACAGATCTACTGAAAGAAGGAAGAGCAGGTGGAGGAGAGGGGCAGGGAAGGAGGAGAGGGGCAGGGAGGGAGGAGAGGGGCAGGGAGGGAGGGTGCGGTCCCTGAGCCCAGTAGGCTGCTGCGCCGTGGGGTGGGCCTTTACCCAGCACTCGGCCGCTTTTCTTACTTTAACTGAAATGAGACTGAAGGGTTTGTTGTCTCATTCCCAGTTAGTGGCAAAGCCTACAGTGGAACCTCTTCACCCCAAATGCATGCTTCTACGCTGTGCTGAGTCTCCGCAGTCACTGGAGAGCCAGCTGATTCCAGCCCATGTTGATCCCGAAGCCTGCCTTGCCTGAATTGATGATGTGCCAGAGACTTTCTCACAGACAGTTGTATATACACGTGTATATACAAGTATATATATGTGTGTATATATGAGAAAAAAATTTTTTGAGACAGGGTCTTACTAAGTTACTGAGGCTGCCCTCAAACTTGGGATCCTCCTGCCTCAGCCTCCTTAATCACTGGGAATACAGGTGTGCACCAGCACACCTACTTAATATAAAATATTTTAATGTTTCATACAGGGTAGGCACAGGATCTCTTTTATCCTTAAAATAACGTATGGAATTAGTACAGATCTACCATCTCTTATAGTGACTTCAAAATCTAGAAATTAAAAACGAAAGCTTTTTGCATAAATTGTTTGACAATAAATCTCACTTAATCTGAATAAGTTAATGACAAAACCTGATTTAAATGGACATGAAGTTATTTCTGATCTTACTGTTCTTAGTGCAAATATTCATCCATGTATTATGTGGCAGAAGTAGTATCATATTATGAGTTGTTGCCACTAAGGCCCCTTGGGTTAATACCATATATCCCATTAGGGATATTCCTTAAGTGTGAAAAATTCTGAAATACATCAGGGTTTTGGATAAAGGATTGGTAGCATGAATTATTCTTGTTTCATATCTTTAAAAATTAAAAGGTGAGATAATTTTTCCAGATCTTTGAACCCAAGACTCTTGACCTGGAGGTCAGCATACAGGTTCAGTATTTCAATTCAGATAAGGCTGCTAAGAATAGGACCTGCTGGGTGGGAAAGATGGTCACTTCTGATGTGATCGATGCCAAGAGCATTTCAAAGATGGTCAGCAATTGACTGAACTGAATTAATAGCTCAAAACCAATTAAGAAGGTTATTAGCTTACTATGTATATCTGGACACTTGCTACAAAATCACCACAAAATAATGTTTAAAGCATCAACCCTTTTAGGTTTATGTATGTTAAATGATGGAATTTCAGAAACGATTATCAGGCAGTTACTCACTTTCATTAAATACGTTGTTCTTGAAAGAATGAATCAATATTAAAACATTTTTTTTTTTTACAGGTATGATCACCGATCTTTTCATAGATAAGTTTAAGTTCAAAGGCACCAATGTGAAAACCAAAGTACCTCTCCTGTTGCAGATTCTGGACAGTTATGATCAAAATGCATTGATTGCTTTCTTTGATGCTGCATGAAAGATAAACAGGGCAAAGTCCCAAAGAAGTGGTCTTTTAAACAAAATGTTAAAGCCAAATTACAAGCCAGCTTGAAATAACTAAATATATTTGAGATACATTGACTTTAAGCTTCTGTTTCTTTTGAAAGATGGAACTGTTTAAAAATAAAGTCTTATTTTTAAAACACAAGTAGAATGATTATGAGGGATATTAATGAATTTGGGGCAAGTAGATGTTTTAATTTTTAAATTGAGAAATTTGTATTTGGAAGCAGGTATGGTGGTGCACAACTCTAATCCCAGCTACTCAGGAGGCTGAGGCAGGAGGTTCAAAAGTTTGAGGCCAACCTCAGCAACCTGGCAAGACCTTTTTTAAAAAAAGGGTTGGGGATGTAGCTCAGTGGTAGAAAGCCCTTGGGCTCAAACCCCAGTACTACCAAATTAAAGAAATAAATAAAGTAGATTTGTAAACTACTTTACAGATTTCAAAGTTTTTTTTTTTTTTTTTTGTATCTTACCTGGTTTGATCTTCGCAATTCTTTTTATATATTTGCAAACCTCTCAATGAAGTTACATGGTTAAGCTGGTTCTGCACCTGGTTTGTGTCCTGATTCCTGTGTGTCATCAACCAGTGGAAATAACCTACCAGTGATTTTTTTTTTCTGGGAGTTGGAATTGATTTGCCGCTGATTTCTTTTTTGCTTGGGGACATTTTGTGACCCTGCTGCAGTTGGTGAAGTGCTTCACTTGGCTCACTGCTGTCAGTGGAGACCAGGGAAGTAAGTGGGGCTCAGGATGGAGGGATCATAACTGGCTGCGCTCTCCCCAGTCCAACTCTCCAAGTGTGCACCTGAAGAGTGACGATTTTCTACAGTTTTCTTGCACTCAAATCCACTAACTTCATTATATATGAAGGAAAATAGCATTTTCAAGCTACATAGTTTGGTTCATTAATTCTTATTCATTTGGGGGGAATACTGTATTTAAAGGTTTTAAAATGGCATAAAGATACCGGAAAATAAGCTATTTTATATTTTCAAGAACGGTAGACTCATGAAATTTCCATAAAACAGTGATCCTTAATTATATGTCATATTATGTGCCAGTCTTGAGTATTAAATGTAAAATTTGTTAAAGGCACTTATAGTTGAGTTTTATTCTAATAAGGTCATATTGTCTTTATTGTGGGGGTGAGGGGATGGCATTGGGGATTTAATGAATCCAGGGCCTTGCACGTGGTCTGTACAACTGAGCCACATCCCCAGTTCCTGTTTTTAGTATATTCGAACAGCCTTAATTCCTAAATGAAATATATAATCATATGCGGGCCACCAAGATACCACTGTCTGCTTTGTGTTGGCTGCCACAGCTTAGGAAGAAAGATAAAAATTAGTGATTATTTAAATTTCTTGTAATACATAACTGTCACATATTATCAAAAGTAGTACAATCTTAGATTGATTGCATTTTCATTCCGAAAAAAGCATGAGCCGGGCTGAAGGCGTAGCCCTGGGGCGTGTGCTTGGTGTGCCGCGGCTCCGTGTTCAGGCCCACCAGCCCCACAAGTCTCAGCCTCGGGAGGCTCGGCCTTTCCAACCCTAACGTGCAGACGTCCTTCCGCCCAGTTAACAACTGCAGGCGGAGCCAGAGACGCGGAATCACCTGGCCTTGGGGGCCGGAGTGCCGAGGCTGCAGACGGGCAGCACCCTGCAGTTGCTGGAGTTCAATTCCATCAGTCCCTAGAAGCTTAGGGACGCGGGGGGCTGGGCGCCTAGGGAAGCTTGGCGCCAGTCCCCGCCCCAGGCCCGGCGTGGCCCCACCCGGCGCCCGTCGTCCCTGCGCAGCTCCGCCCCCGCCTCTACCCCGTCGTCCCTGCGCAGCCCCGCCCCCGCCTCTACCCCGTCGCCCCTGCCTGCGTGGCCCAGTCCCGCGCCCGGAGGCCCCCGCGCTCGTGGCGCCCGTCGCTCTGGCTGACGTCACGGCCGGAGCGCTCATTGGTCCATTTCAATAGTCGCGGGATACTTGAACTGCAGGAACAGCCGCCGCACGGCGGGCTGCCGGCTGGCTGCATCTCGGGCGTCCGCGCCTCCGCGCCGGGCCGCGCCGCGCCTGCTCCACCCTTGGCGATCCGGTGCGTCCTGCGCGGGTCCAAGCCGGTGAGCCGCGGCGGCCAGGCTGGCTGGGCCGCGGCGGACGGCCAGGGCTGGAGCGTCCCCGGCGGGCGGGCAAGCGCACGCTGCTTGGCGCGCGGGCTGACCGCCTCGCGCCCCCGGGATCCGCGATGTTGGGCAGCTCCGCGCCGCGGCCTGCGGCCCGCGAGACGGGCCCGGCACTGCCGGCGCTGCAGCAGACGGGGTTCCAGGAGGACCAGGAGAACATCAACCCGGAGAAGGCGCCCGCCCCGCAGCCGCGGACCCAGGCCGCGCTGGCTGTGCTGAAGGCCGCGAACCCGCGGTGTCCCGCGCCGCAGAAGCCCAAGACGCGCCGGGTAAAGGTGCAGGGGTCTGCAGGAGGGCGGCTGGGCGGGACTTGGGAGCGCCTCTCGGCTCTTTAGGGGCTGGGGTCCAGAGTCCACTCGGTCCCAGGTTTTCTGGTACGTGGGTTGCCGCTGGAGTAGCGTCTCCCATTATTCTTAGCATTGCTCCCTAGTGGAAGCATCTTTCTGTAGATAATGGGGTCAGATCAAGCCCTACAGCGTGAATTGGCCTTCGCCCAGCTTCCAGCCTTCCTCTCCACTTTCAAACCCCAGGCACTGCCAGGACCGGATCCCCCACCCCCACCCCCACCCGTCTGCTCTAGGAGTTACCTCCGTTTCGGGAAGGGGTCTGAAAAACATTTTGCTTTTGGTAAATTCCGCCATTTTAGCCGGATTTGCTCTGTTGCTCCACCCTGGGGTGAAAGTGGTGAATAAGTACTTTTTTCCTCTTTTCCTAAACTTATTTAGCCTGACACCCCATCCTCGAAGCCTTGGTTATTTTAACTCCACGTAGTTCTGATTAGTTACAAGGGGAAAAAGGTAAAACTCCATTGAATAAGCTCAAAGCCTGTTATTCTTTCCCTTTAGGTCGCACCTCTAAAGGATCTTCCCGTGAATGATGAGCATGTCGCTGCTTTTCCTCCTTGGAAGGCAAACAGTAAACAGCCTGCATTCACCATTCATGTGGATGAAGCAGAGGAGGAGACTCAAAAGAGGCCATCTGAAAAAAGAACAGAGTGTGAGAATGTCCTGGCTTTTAGTACAGCTGCTACTTTACCTGGACCAAGAAAACCTCTGGTGCCTCTGGATTATCCGATGGATGGTAGTTTTGGTAAGTTTTAAGACACTCTATTTGTTATGATACACTGTATGGAAGTTTTGTATAATAGGCTTAGAGAAGATGGGATCTTCCTCTACTGTCACCCTGATACTTGACCTAGTGACCTACAAGACCTAGATCCTCATGCCCTTTTGTGAACTCTACCAACTTAATTTGCATACTGATTAAATAGACCTTGAATTCTTATTTGAATCTGATCCCATCTGATTGTTTCAGAGAATGGATTCCAGTTATATTCATAGCTTCACTTTTCAGATACCATTTCAGAGAGTGTTATTTGAAGACATAAATAGTTATAACTAACATTTTTTTCTGTAAAACCATTCTGAGTGATCATCTGCAAGTGATACTGTCCTTCTCTAAGTTAGTAGCTGTACCAAGTTAGTAGGGAAAACATGGCTGTTTTCCCTAACCCACAAAAATAGTAGCTGCTGTAGACAGCCCTGCTTATAGTTTTGTGCTGTTTCTTCACTTTCTGATAAAGTACTGATTCTAGCTGATGCCTAATTGTGCTCTGAAAATGTCTGGCTATGGGGTCTGAATTCTCTTAGGGAAAACCTTAGATACTATTCAAAACTTGGGACAGTAAGTGCTCTCCTAATAGAATCACATACCATCTGCTCCCATCTCTCATGGAAGATGAATGATACTTTAATACTCAGTCTCCTGTTAGTGGCTTATCAACATTTGTCTCATTAATTGGAACCAATTCTAAATCTATGTAAACAGATACTAAAACTAGAGTAAAACATTCCAGGTACTTTGCCATGAGAAGTCCTTTTTAGTTGAATGAAATAAATGCCTTGGTATTATTAGACTCCTTATAGGGGTCATTTTTAGCTACTAAATCAAATGAAAGCAATTCATCTTGTCTTTTGAATTCTCTCAGAGTCGCCACACACTATGGATATATCAATTGTGTTAGAAGATGAAAAGCCAGTGAGTGTTAATGAAGTGCCCGACTACCACGAGGATATTCACACATACCTTAGGGAAATGGAGGTAAGGGCTGAGCCCACTCTGCACACTAGGTTCACTAAGAGCAGCTGAGTGGAGTGCAGAGGGGTCACTGTCTTTCCAGTGCTGCACTTCAGTTCACAGCACGCAGACCTCTGTTGATGGTGAATGGTCTAACACTACTGACTTTTCCTGGACAGGTCAAGTGTAAGCCTAGAGTGGGCTACATGAAGAAGCAGCCAGACATCACTAACAGTATGCGGGCTATCCTTGTGGACTGGCTGGTTGAAGTGGGAGAAGAATATAAACTACAGAATGAGACCCTGCACTTGGCTGTGAACTACATCGACAGGTTCCTCTCGTCCATGTCAGTGCTGAGAGGGAAACTTCAGCTTGTGGGCACAGCTGCCATGCTGCTAGCCTCGTAAGTCCACTGTTCCTTCCTGTCTGAGCCTCTCCTTTCCATACGGGGAATGAATGTGATCTCAGCTGTGACGTCCTTACATACACAGGCCAGAGTCAGAGTACTTTAGGGATGGCTGTGGTGTGCGAGCTGAGGGGACTGAGGATGAAATTGTTCTAATCTAGAACACTGGTCTTCGGAACTGGATTCCAGGATACCTCCAATGAACATGAAATATCATATTTTACAATGATTAGATTACCAAGCTTGAAAGTGTGGTTCCTTCCATAACAAAGTGCTTTTTTACATACAAATAATGTCTTCTACTAAGGCATGAAGATGGAATTTAAAAATGGAAACATCAAATGTCTGTTTACCTAAGTTTCTAGCTACCTTGTGAGCTCTGGCATTGGTCCTATCCTGGGAAATCTCATGTCTCTCACTCAGTTCTGTGCTGCACTGGGAGGAATATGTCACAAGTTTTCTTGGATTTGGGTCTTTTAGTAGTAGTTGAAGGTCTCTGCTAGAAATAATGGTCACGTATCCGTGAAAGTGCAGTTGGTAAAAAGTGGGTTTGGGGTCATTCTGTGTATTCTGCAAATGGGATTGCAGAGCTGGGAGGCTTGCTTCTCTTAAAAGGACTTACTATTTAAACTTTTTTCATTGTAGAAAGTTTGAAGAAATATACCCCCCAGAAGTAGCCGAGTTTGTGTACATCACCGATGATACCTATACCAAGAAACAGGTGCTGAGAATGGAGCACCTAGTTTTGAAAGTCCTTGCTTTTGACCTAGCTGCACCAACAGTAAATCAGTTTCTTACCCAATACTTTCTACATCAGCAGCCTGCAAACTGTAAGGTTGAAAGTTTAGCAATGGTAAGTTACTTATTATTTTGTTGGAGATTCCTATATAATAATTAGAGGTGAGCGTGAGTTTAATTCTACATACAAATGTAGAATTTGCTTTGCTCAAGAGATTTAGTATTCTGGGGACAGATTAATGTTGCAGTATGGAAAAAAGCCTACCATAGGTGAAAGACAGTACGTGGTTGGCGCTCCCTATCTCTAGGTTCTCCACTCATAAATTCAACCAATCATGGACTGAAAGTTGTCAGGGGAAAATCAAACTGCATCTACACTGAACAAGTACAGACTTTTTTTTTCATTACTCTCTAAACAATAACTATATAAAGTTTACGTGAAGAATTACAAGTGACTTAGAGATGGTTTAAAGTATGCAGGAGGGTGTGTAAGCATATACAAGTGCTAGACCATCCACATATGTGGGACATGAGCATCCACTGGTTTGGTGTGTTCGAGTGAATGGGTGGGTGCTGGAAGAGGATCATCAGCATGGACACCGAGGGACAGCTGTGTATTGGGAAAGCACTAAGGAGTAGTGGTTTGAGGACAAAGTGTGGGGAAAATGGTAGCCAGGAGCACTGTCTTTAGTTCTTAGAGGGGAATGCAGGATGAAAGTGGAGTGAGACACCATGATAGTGGGGTGTAAAGATGCGGCTATGTATTTTTTCCAGGGTTGTCACAGAGGCAGTATCAAAGACAAGAAAAAAAATAGGTCAGAAGGAAAGGGTCTGAGGTTTGAATTCTAGAGCTCTAGGTCATCGAGTATTTGTCATTACAGTTCTTGGGAGAGTTGAGTTTGATAGATGCCGACCCGTACCTGAAGTACCTGCCATCAGTCGTTGCTGGAGCAGCCTTTCACTTAGCTCTCTACACTGTCACAGGCCAGAGCTGGGTGAGTATGACACTGCAGGCTGTCCCAGGCCCAGGTTGTCCAGGTGCTGTTATTTGGAAAACTATTCCAGTATGCGTACTGTTGAAGACGTCTTTCCTATTGAACATGTTAGGGGAAAGGCTTAGTTGTGAGCTTGGATTTGAAAGGTGTGCTTAGGATTTCAGGCCCCACGGAGGCTGCAGTTCATGGTGCTGGTGGGGAAAGTAGTGAGAAAGGATCAAGGCGTAGGAATGGCCTGAGAAAGTAGATGTGGGGTGGGTGGGTGGTGGTGAAGAGCCAGGTGACCACAGGCTCACTGTTTTCAGTGTCCCCTGTTAACGACGGCACTCTGGTTCCCTGCCCCTCCCGTAGCCTGAATCGCTGGTACAGAAGACCGGATACACCCTGGAAAGCCTCAAGCCCTGTCTCCTGGACCTCCACCAGACCTACCTCAGAGCCCCGCAGCATGCACAGCAGTCCATAAGGGAGAAGTACAAGCATTCGAAGTAAGAGCCGAGCACATGTTTCCAGACTGTGACATTTTACTTTATCAAAGCATACATGGGGTTTGCCACAGCTTCTTTATGGAGCTCTTCTCAGGCTGTGGCATCAGGGTGGACTACTTTCCTAGCATGAGCCAGGTCCTGGGTTCCATCCCCAGAACCGCCAAAACAAAACAAAAACCCTGATCTCTTGGAGCTTGGAGAAGGATGTAAATGATGCTTTGTCTTGCAGCTGGGGGTGAGGGGAGAGGAAGGGGATCCGACAGCAATTCTAAAACAACCTAACCAGACAGACAGGAAGAACATTTCTGAGGGCCCAGCGCACACAGCACAGGTCTCCCTTGCCAGTGAATATTTACTAACAAGACTTTTTAATTTACAGGTATCATGGAGTTTCTCTCCTCAACCCACCAGAGACACTAAACGTGTAACGTGGAAGACTGCCTGTTTTCTAAGATGTAAATCCCTCAGAGTACATGGTGTACAGTTTTTATCTTGGGTTGTCATTTCACAATCATTTATGAACATAGAAGTTATGGTCAAGGACAAATTATGGTATCTATTACTTTTTTTAATGGTTTTAATTTGTATATCTTTTGTACATGTATCTATCCTAGATATTTGGCTAATTTTAAGTGGTTTTGTTAAAGTATTAATGATGCCAGCTGTCAGGATAATAATAAATCGACTTGGAAATCTTTGACTTAGTTAATTGGAGGTTTAAATATGACTTGTTCCAGATTCTCTTGGAAAAGACAATTTGTTTGTAGTTTGTTGTGCGGTGGGGAGTGAGGAGCCTTCCTCTTAAAAGTCATTTTAGGAAAACACCCTGAAAAATCCTGGCACTCATTTCCTCAACAACTGGACTAGTGTGCTGACGGTCACCAACTAAACACACCTGGACTAAACCGCCTGCTTGCACAGTGAGACCCTCAGACTCAGCTCTGTGTAAACACCCTGCAGCAGCCTCTGAAAATGATTTTTTTTTGATTCCTCATCAACTTCTAGACTCTACCCAGGCCACAGAAGAGGCTGAAAATGGTTTGGGAAGCTTTTTGCGCATATGAACAGTCAAAAATCACTTTAGAGGTTCATTTTAAAGCTGACATTAAAAAAAAAACATCAGGCTTTATATTGGAATTATGAATAAAAAAAATACCCAGAGTAGTTTGTACTGAATAAATTATCCTTTTAATAGCTATATATGCAAATATACAACTTATTGTTAGTTAACAATTCTCTTCTTTTTTCTTTTTCTTGCTGGCTTTTTACTTGGTGCTTTTTCTTGTTTTGCACTGACGATCTGTGTTCTGTGAATAAAGTAACAGTTCACTGATGACATGCTTGTTGAATTTTGGATCATTAAATTAGGGCTTCATTGTTTTTCTAGTAGGATATGAAATGTGGTAGCTGTGAGAGTAAAAACTTTGAAAGTCATCTCATGTCTACAGAACTGGGCACTGACTTCTTATAACCAGAGTGAATGAACAGGAATGAAAAAGGGGAAGATAGCACAGAACCAGAGGGCAATAAAGTGGAAATTTGTACCTTATTTTCTTTGGATTCTTGTCTGGTTCTAAAATGATCATTTCTTCTTCTTCACTGTCTGAGAGCACTATAGGGGCATCTTGAAGAAAATACCATGGAAAGCAATATAAATATGAAAATTCCCATGAATTTATGTGTGATTCCAAACTCCATTCCACACTGAGACCCCCCCAGCTGCTTTCTGGGGTTTACAGATCCATAAACTTTGTTCTTCCCAAATCTTTCTCTCTGAAGTCGTTCCTTAGAGCTCAGAAAAACTCTCCTCTAACAATTCTCATTTCCTTTAGTTGTGTTTGTAAAGGCTGAACACACAGGAGTATTCAGGGGGAATCTATGCAGCATCTATCAGATCTGATCTGCAGATGACCTGCAGTCAGGACTCTAGCTAAGCTGTTGGTGCTGCTCTAGGTAAGAAGGGACAAGGTCCACCTTAGCAGCTGCTGTTGTCTTCCATTATAAACAGAAGCAGAACTGTTGGGTCAAAAGGCACATTCCAAGATTTTTTTTTTTTTTAACCAAATCCATCCAGAAATACTGTTCCAATTCCTCTAAGAAGAAGTGGAAATGAGAAAACATTTCTCATTGAACCTTGTAGATACTGCTATTTAATACTGCCTAATCAGTAGCCAAAATATATTATTACTTTTTTCTTTGAATTTATTTCTTTCATTATTACAAGGACTGACCATTAAAAATGTTAATGGGCCATTTTCTTTTGCCTATTTTTATCCACAGCATTAATAATGAACACACGTTATACACACACACATACAAGTCAACCCTTTTCCTCATTGGTTGATTGCCTATTAATTCTTCATAGTTTCAGTTCGCACCTGCTCTGTTCACATCCTTTGGGAATATTGACTCCATCCTCCCAGTTTCATTATTTAATTGAAAATATTAGTCTTCGAACCAGAAATAAAATGTCGAACTATTAACTTTATGAAGTATAAGTGCAAGGACACCAGCACTGGAAGGAGGTAAGGAAAGGCAGCCAGAGTCCTCAATGAGAGAATGGCTAGGCTGCTGGGTACATGCAGTGGTGCTGGATTTGTGCAGCATTTAAAAAGGAGCAGCTACATACGTGACTGCATGACCAAAATGAGACATTATACCCCATCTGATTCAAATGTATGATATGTCAAGATCATTGTACTGTCAAGTGTAACTAATTAAAACAATTTAAAAAAAAAAAAAAAGGAGCTACATAGGTTGATGTGGAAATCCTTGTGAACACGAGTCCTGGGGTAAACAGCTTATTCCATTGGTACATAGCTACCTGAATAACACCAAACAGAAACAGCCCCTGGGAAAGCTGTGTAAGTTCTCACCAAGAGAGTTTTCTCTTCACCCATTTACCAGAACTTTTACCAAGAAAAGCAATTCCTGATCTTAAATGGGCCAGGCAGAATTTTGTATTCATAAAAGCAAAAGGATCCATAGGCAATGGATAAATAAACGTCTTCATTTCCTCAGCTTTTAGAATGCAAGGTACACATACGATGGACAGTATTTCAGGCATTTCTAGAAATTTTGTGTCCTTTAATTCTCCACTAATATGGCAGCCACTAGCCACATATGGTATTTAATTTTATGTTAGCTATAATTAAATTTAAATTCAGTCCCTCAGACAAACCCATTTCAAATGTTTAGTAGTAAGCCACAAGGGGCTGGTGGCTTCTATACAGATGCAGAGTTACTGCTTCTTGTAGAAAGTTTGTACTACATGATGTAAGATAAGTTTTTTTGAGTCTAAAAACTAGAAAACTCATTTAAACCCTTTAAACTGGCCCAGATACGAGTACAAAAAAATTTTTAATTAAAAACGTTGCCATAACTTTATATGCTAAAAAGTCTACCACTACACGAAAATAAACATTCTTTAAAAAAAGAATTGATGTTAATGTTGCAATTAGTCCCATTTGGTTGAAATTTAAATCACAAAATATTTAGCCCCTCCAAGAAAGGGTCACATACCCCACGTGTAGCTGCTCTATATTCTCCACAGATCTCTACAGACTATCTGTGTTACATAGCTGCACACAGGTCAGGCACACGCTTCTGGAGACAGGTATCTACAATACTCCTGAGCAGCATCACTTACCTTGGCTTCCAATATTGGAAACCTCTGCTGTGTCCATCTTCACGTCATCAGGAAGGACAGCCTCGTCACTGCCACCTTCATCCTCACCTTCCTTCTCAGAGTCTTCAAGTACACCCCAGGTGTTCTCTACTCCCTCTCCGATCTGGGCAGTTCCGGGAGTCCACAACACAGGTTCGGCAATGCTTCACAAGTTAAGAAAACTGAAGAGCAAAAGTACTGCTACTTGAACTGATGGAAAAAGCCGTATCTTGTAAGATTTATTCAATGATTTCTCAAATTCTCATGGAAAAGAATACAGCTGTAGTATGGAGAGCTGAACAATGAAAAATATATAACTCAGGATTTTATGGACACCAGTGGTAAGAGAAATAAAAGACAGTTGTAAATTTAGTAAACAAATATTTTTAAGAATAAAGTGTAATAGTGTATAAGGTAACCTGACCATGCCATTGATACTAAATAACAAATTTTCAAAGGAAAATGAAAATACTATAAAAATATTTTTGGGCAGTGTTAGGGATGGGCCTTGCACATGCTAAGCAAGTGCTCTACCACTGAAACACACCTCCAGTCCCTAAAATGGGTCTCACAATTGAGAATTTTCTGGTTCCTGCAGAGTAACCAAAGAGAAGCTAGATGTTAAATTGTCGACTTCATATGACTCATATTACTTTCTTAAGTTTTTTCTCTAACAGCATTTCAGAAAAGAAATGTCAGTATGCATACACAACATCAGTAAAGCCAACAGTGCTATCCATCCTGTCATGCACAAACCACACAACAAAGATACACTTCTGGAGGAGGCTCAGCTTCAGCGATGATCTCTTCTGCTTTCTCCTCTACATCTGAGGTATCGATGGGGGCCTTTTCCATTTTAAATGCTGTGATTCTTTGATTTGCTATAGACTCTGCAAAGCCAAACTTTCCACCTTCTTTCCTGTATGTGGGTTTTTGTTGTGGGTGGGTGGACGGAGAATGATAAAGACAGATGAAAGAAAAAAAGAGAAGAAAAAGTATTTTATCCTTCAGTGGTGAGAAATATTGGAATAGTCTATTTTACTAACATGCCTGTCAAGGAAATAACAACAAATTCCCATAATTATCATTTATGGAATCGTGTACCAGGCATGTGCTAGGTGCTTACAGTGCATTCTCTGATCCTCAATCAGCCCTACCAAGAAGGCATTAGCCTCACATATGGTACAAAAGAGACTGAAGTCCTAAATTACATATCTTGGTAAGGTAACACAGTAAGAAGTAGAGATGGGAATCAACCTATTTGTGTTCTTTCCATTAACTGAGTTACCAGATTGTTTTTCCCCTAAGAAAATGTGAATTTTTAAAGAAAAATCTTACGGATTTTCAATACAAGTAATGTTTAAAAACAGGAAGAAAATATAATAGAATTTAATCAACTTTCAAAAACACAAGTAGTACATTCAATTAAGGTTAACAAATAAGGACAGATCAAGTGTGATAATTATATTGTTGACTTTGAACAAGAAAGGCCCAGAAATATGTATTAAAAAGACCATTTAGTTCTGAAAAAGTTAAAACTTACCTAACTTTTTGGTCATTCTCCAGAGCTTTCTGTATTAGCTCTGTAATTTCTGCTACTTTCACACCAGCTATTTTACTGCATCTCAAAACCTATTTGTAAAAGTGAATTCTGTTAAAGACAACAAACCATATGGCTTTAAAACTACAATCATGAAATTAGCCTATTTTTATAATTTAAGCTTTTCCAAATATGAAAATGATGTATTGTTAACACAAGTCAAGGCAAGATGAAGAGCTGTTAACATCTGAAGAACTACTGCATTAACAGGACAGACTTTCTTACATGACAGTCTGACACTACAGGAAAGGCTGCTCAGGTTTGCACCTTCCCATAAGTGATCCACAGAAACAGGAGCCTGACTATGGCGCTAGTAAGAACGCCAGCCATGAGGACAACAGAAACCAGTGTCTACTGAGCACCTAGTGTATGCTGGACATTGCTACATACCTACATCTATTTACCCTCTCATCCTATTTTACACACACACACAAAACAGGCCCAAAGACTCAGCATCATTTGCCCAGAGTTAGTGCACAGCGGAGCTGGATGGGAAGCCCAGCAGCGCCCCTGCTCTCCTCTACTTATTCCACAGGTCCCACAGCAGCACTCTGCTTTCTACGAGTCTCGCATGTGGCTGGGTTTGAGAATCACTCTAGTGGTAGCCAAATTCTAGAAGTAAGACTATCGTCCTACCTTATTTCTACCTTTTGCCATTAAAAAAAAAAAAAAAAAAGACGTATCTTTCTTCACTGAAAGAAAAAAAGTGTTCCTCTAGTTGGAAGGGTCAGGCTCAGGATGGTTACATGTGGGAACAGCCAGAGACAAGAAAACCTCAGTGTCCACTGTCAACAGAATGTAACAACTGTACTGAAACCTGATTCCCGCACATCCTAGGATCAATCGATTAAGTACTCTCACTGGATTTTGGTTAAAAGACAAGAAAAAGCTTCTAAAAAGAAGAGACCTATTCTTAAAGGCACATTAGTCAAAGCACTAACTTGATCTTTCAGTAGCATTATCCCACCACTGGACTGGATGGTACAAATCTCTCGATGCTTATTCATGGCAATCACCAGCAAGCCATCCATTACCCGTTCTTCTCGTTCATTAGGATCCACCAAGAGATACATTCTGAAATGAATATTAAATGATCCTGAACAAATCCTGAGGCTAAATACTTGTCATTTTTAGGGTATGGAATTTTTTTTTAAAGACAGCATCAATGAAGTCAACAGTAAAGTTGCCTAAGCCTGTGGGTATGAGTCAATTTAATGAAACAGGAGTCAAGAATATGTTTTTGTAAACAAAAACGCTTAAGTGGCTATTTCTTGCTATTGCAGTGAAATCACATCTTAAACATCACATAATCCAAACCTAATGCTATCTCTTATTAAATGACTTCTGGCTCATTAATAAGAACCTGGATACCATTAAATTAGTTAACGTTGCCCCAACATCCTGTTCTAGATTCTGCTAATGGTACAGGAAAAGCAGTAGTGTTTGCACCATCCAATACAGCAGTCAGTAGTCACATGGGATTAATAAGCCCTTGCAATGTGACTGGTCCAAACTGGGTATGTAAAACACTAGATTTCAAAGATTAAATGGAAATTTAAAAATGTTAAAATTTTCATGAGTAGTTACAAATATATTGAGTATAATAAAATGAAAATATTTTACATATTTTAGGTTAAGTAAAGTATATAAAAATTCTCTACCTCTTTAATGTGATCTTGAGAAAATTTTAAATTATTTATATAGCTGGCATTTTATTTCTATTAGACATTACTGGTCCATTTCCCTATAATAAAATTCCACATAACAATGGCTAAAGTTGAGACCTTCTAATTCTTATGCACAACACTGTTAATACATATTTTTATAGCTCTCCCTTTTTTCTGAAGAATTAAGACTCAAGCTTTCACTGAAAAGTACCATCCCATGAACCTAAGAGACACCACGTTTTCTGTTAGAGGATTTAGCAACACATTGAATAGACTGCTGGAAAGCCAAAGGAAACTAGATTTTCTCTTTGTCGTGAATCATTCTCCCTTGTGATTTGCTCCCAGAACTAACACAGCTCCGAAATCCACCGTAATTCTTAACTTCAAGAAAGGCAAAGTACTACTGTGCCAGGGTAAATTCATCAAATTCTAAGTATACTACAAAAAGAAAAATACCGGGAAGCATAATGATGGAATTGTTTTGTTATTTCTATGAGAAAGGTCTTTGCCAACTAGTACCCTCATGAGGAAATACGAGGTGCTACAATATCAACAAGGGTCACTCATCTGCCCTACACACTTGTGTGCTTATGATTTCTGCCCATGTCAGGGCACGACTTACCCTTGCTGGAAGAAGGCAAAACTGACACAAATGGGCATGTGGTGGATGCTCAATGGTACAGGATCACGCTCTTCAGGTGCATACTGTTTCAGAAGAAGAGGTTCAATAATCATACTTAAGTTCTCAACATACAAAATACCACCTTGGGAATCAAGTAGTAAAAAATAAAATTCCTTCTAAATTTTGGTGAGTACCTAAATCACTTCTTTTACAATCATTTGTTTGACTTGGCCACTCAGATTCCTTAAAATTATAAAAAATTATATGCATTTTTCAAAACCCTAATTGAGGTATAACTTACATCCCATAAAATATACTTCTTGTAAGTATGATCCATTTTTCCATTTTTAGCAAGGGTATAAGTATGCACCACCACTGCCTTCCCACTGTGTATTTCCATTACCCCACAAAATCCTTAAGGTCCTTTACTAGTCAATTCTCTCACCTCCACTCAAGCAACCACTGGCTGATCTGCTGTCTGACCCACTGGCCTCTGCTCTGTATTCTATACAGACGAATCCAGTGATCTGCAGTCTCCACGCCTGGCTTCTTTCAACTTGGCATGTTTCACCCACCCTGCAGCAGTTATCAGCAGTGGACCCCAGGTGGATGAAACACACCAAGTTCTCCCTTGTATCAGTGTACCCTGTGTTTGTCCATTTACCAGCTAGTGAACCTATGGGCCATTTCTTGTTCATGGCTATTAAATGAATGCTATGAACATTTGCATACATCTCTCAGGCACACACGCTCTTTTCCTCCTAGAGATCCCTAGGCATACAATTGCTACAAAAAATTTTCCCTAGTTCTAAGCCATTCAACTTATTTTAATATTATAAGGTCAAATGTGCTAAAAGATGTACACATTAGAGGAGTATTTTATTCTTCCATTGTTATTTTTCTGAATACAGAATGTTGTTTACATTTAACATTTTGAGAAACTGCCAAACTTTTCCAACACAGCCATATCATTTTACATGCTCAACAGTAACAACACATAATCTTACAAGTGATTTATTTTTCAAGTTTACTAACTGGCCTCTACTTTTTCTCTTTTTTTTTTTTTTTTACTTTCTATAACCACCCACCTTCTCTAAAGGAACATTTTCTCTAATGTTAATAAACTCTACCTCTAAGTCTATAAAGAGAATGCTCCAAACTAGTTTTAGATTGTTTGGAAAAATTGGGCACCTGATGTTTCCTTTTGGAACTTCCAGGCTCAAACTATGACTGCAGTGAATTTTCATTATTGTAGTATGTAATTTATATAAATCAAACTGAGCTGGGTGCAGTGGCACACACCTGTAATCGCAGTGGCTCAGAAGCTGAGACAAGAGGATCTCAGAGTTCAAAGCCACCAGCCTCAGAAACAGTAAGGCACTAAGCAATTCAGTGAGACCCTGTCTCTAAATAAATGCAAAACAGGGCTAGGGATGTGGCTCAGTGGTCAAGCCCCTGAGTTTGATTCCCAATACCCAAAACGAAACAAAAAACTGACATAGCACAAAAGTCAGGCACAAAGATCAGTGGTTTTCAAAATGTGGTCCCCAGACCTGCAGCATCAGTATCAGAAGTGCAAATTCTCACCTCAGTCCTACTCTGGAAGTGGAGCCTAGCAGTGTATTTAACAAGCCTCTCCAGGTATTTCAGATGGACTCCTGCCATCTACTTTGCTTAATGAACAGAAGTCTTAGAGAGAGGTTAATCTGTAGGCCCTCAGTCCTGTTCAGTTTCTGCATGCCTCTCACAGGATAAGCATTTCAGTGCTGAGAACTATGGATTTTTCACATGTGACTCCCTAAACATGGGTAACCATTTCATCTAATGTTCAATCCAAAGAAGTAGTTATTGCATTCTCTTCTGGAAAACCAAGCTCAAGGTTACATTCATATTGACAAGACATCTAAATAAGGAAAATTCTGACCATATATACTTTTGCCTTATATATATTTCACAACCTATGGAATTGCCATCTACAACATGACTTTACTTAAAGTAAGTTGTCTGCACATCGAGAATACCCGTTCATCCATAGGGAGGGAGGGTCTGGCTCAAATCACGGCCGCTTACCAGGGTTACTTCATCTCCTTGGACAGAGACATCAGGCCTTCGGAAGTGACACAAGGCCACAATTGCCGCAATGCTGGCAGCATCGATGATGTTTCCATCATGATTTAATAAATGTAGGTCCACACGTATCTGCCAAACCTAAAGCAAGTTTAAAATAAAAATAAACCTAACTAAACGAAACCAGTGGTTATTTAACAGTAACACTGTGTTCAATTTTCTTCCTTCCAATTAATTCTTCTATTTTATCAATAAAAATGCAGAAAAATTTAAACCCTCCCCCCAAAAAAGCAGATCTGAAATACTAATAGTTTACCTTTCTATATGAATCATTAGACAAAAGTAAACTACATATTCTAAGTAAAAGGAATCATCCCAGCATTTATACCTGAGATTTTCCTAACTCCAAAACTATGGTTTTATTTTAGCTGCTAACTTACAAATCTCAAAATGTTAGCTTTTAAATGATAATATGATTACCTTAAAAGAAATGCAAATTAAAGTGTCACATTCAGCCACAAGTGATGTGACTTCTTTGGAATAAAAAACGTAACAAGACACCCTTATCAAAATAAAGTTCTCATACTCTCACACAATACAAGTTTTTGACTAAAATTTCCAGTGTAAGCCCTGCTTATGACTCACTAGGCAGCCCATGTAAATCAATGAACCTATCCACATGAAGGAGCAATATGTTCTTTATTCATAAAAAAGGAAAACACTACCTCCTCCTATCAAGTCACCCAAAGTAAATGACAGCTTATAAGAAAGAGCCACAAATTCTGTGAATAAAACATTTTTATACAAATCCAAGTTGCTATTTTAACCCTTTTAAGATATTTTCTTATGCCTTAAGAAAGAGATGGCAAAAAATTCTAAGGGCAGCACCTGGGAAAACTTGAAGTGATATGAACCAGTATAAAACTAAACACCGTCATGGTAGTGCATGCCTGTAATCTCAGTGACTAGGGAGGCTGAAGCAGGAGGATCTCAAATCAAGGCCAGCCTGGGCAACTCAGTGAGACCCTCAACAACTTAGAGAGATGCTGTCTCCAAATAAAAAGCAAAAAGGGCTGAGGATGTAGCACCCTGGGTTTAATCTCCAATACAAAAACAAATTTTAAAAAAACCACCTAAATTAACCAAAGCTCTAAGAATGAAAGCATAGATCTAGAAACCAATGAATCAACAACAACCATACTAAGATTAAGAATTCATTCCTCACCTTTTCACCAGCAACAACACAAAGAGATTCAGTGTCTATACACTTTGAATTTCTTAGACATCTTTCCAAAAGTCGGTTCAACTTCACCAAGAGATCTGACTGCCTATGAAAACAGGAATGGGCTAATGTCATGAAATGTAACACCAGGCATTAAAACAACAGGTTACAGCTGTCAGGTTCTTCTATGACCAAAGCAACTCCAGATAAAGATGTAAATACCTGCCAGGTTCGAATGCTGGAGCAGCCATCTGAGAGAGTTCAAGGTTAAAAAAAAGAATACCTTCTGTTGCCCGATTGAGTTTTGGAGAAACAAGTTCACAGGAAACCTGTCCAAGAACTCTGCAGAGATATAGGTACAAAGATGTTAACTAAATATATTTCCTTTCTTATCAAAAAAGTAAGAAATAAAACAATTTAAATTTTACTCTCAATATGTCAAATGGACATGAGATAAGGATTACATATAAAACATACTAACAGAATACATGCAGAGATAAAAAACATTAACATGCCTAAGAAGATAACAGAAAAGTAACTGATCACAGTATTTACTATTCCACAGATGCAGAGGAAAATGAAGGACTTTTAACCCTGTTTTCTAAAAGAAATACTGATACAAGATGGCAAGAAAACTTGAGCTTTCCCAGGCTACTAGGACCTAATGTCCTCACAACTTTCGAATTCTTATTTCACTCAGGAAAAAGGAAGGCGGGCCTGTGGCCCACAAGTGCTCAGGACCTCCACACCGCGAACAAGGGGCGCACAGGGGCGGGGCGCGCAGGAGCAGGTGCACAGGGGCGGGGGACGGCGCGCACTGGGGCGGGGGACGGCGCGCACAGGGGCGGGGCACGGGGCGGGACGCGCAGGGCAG